GGGAAGGCTCAGGCCGGCGCCGCGGCGAGGGGCGGCCGGGGAGGGTCTGGGTCGCGGTAAGGGGGGCAGAGCAGGGCCCGGTCCTCAGCCGGGGCGGCGGCACACCCTCGGGTGAAGGCCGCGGAGGTCTGCCCAGCGGTGTCTTCCACCGTGGGAAGCAGCTGAGGGTTTGTCCTGGTAAGATAGGAGAAACGGGACCTCCGGAAGAAACGTAAAAGATTTACCGTGGCTTGATTTCAGTTTAGAGAGGAGGATTACAAAAGGAAAAAAAAAAAAAAAGTATGTTTTGATAATGACACAACCGTGATGAAATGGACTAATGACCCCAACACACCACTTGGTTAATCACCAAAACACCAAGGCTGGTGTTAAGCTTGGCTGAACTTCATCCACAGTTGCTGAACTACGAGAAGCACCTCAGTGTACTTTAAATACTAGGTTTATGGCTGTCGGCCTGGATTGATTGAAGTTTTCTTCACCGTGTGGAGATGTACGGACAAGATGGGATAACACGGGAGTCTTGGGGCTTTGGTACTGTTCGGGCTGTCAGTTCTTCCCTCCTCACAAGTGTAATAATGTCACTGCTGTGAAATTGGTGAAACATCACTGCATTTGGCTGCGTTTGGCCAACTGCACGAGGGCCACAGTTCCATCGCTCCCCCCTGCACTGCTCCTGCGGGGAGGCATCTCTAGGGTTGGAAGGAGCAGAGCCTGAAGGAGGAGCTCACCCACATGCGAGTTAATGGGAGTGTGGTTCCCTTTGAGCCTGGCTAAATCTTTGTCTCAGCAAAAACGGTGCTACAGGTTTCTTTGTAACTGGGAAGAATCGTCACAAAGATCTATCCAGTACCCAACAAATCAGCACTTCACTGCAGACAGGAGTATGCTTACAAGCACAAAAGGGTTTTTTTTTTTGGAATGACCTATTCAAAAAAATATCAGATCTACAATAATATAGTCAGGCCTGTGTTAAGAACATAACCTTTTCTTACGCTTTTTTGTGACTACTGTTTCTTATGAAATTCTTGCTCATCTTTAGAAATTTTCTTCTACAGAAACATTTCAATGTAGATGTCAGAACTTGTCGTGGTTTAACCTGGCAGGCAGCTGGTCACTCACTCCCCTACCCCAGTGGGATGGAGGAGAGAACTGGGAAAATAAAATACTAAAATTCCTGCAGTGAGATAGACAGTTTAATAGGACAGAAAAGGAAGGGGAAATAATATGATCAGAATATACAAAACAAGTGGTGCACTGTGTAATCGATCACCACTGGCCAACTGATGTCGTCAGTTCCCAAGCAGCGGCCCCCAGCCACTTTTCCCCCCAGTTTTTATACTGAGCACAATGTCCTATGGTCTGGGATATCCCTTTGGCCAGTTTGGCTTCAGCTGTCCCGGTTGTGTCTCCTCCCAGCTTCTTGTGCCCCCTAGCCTTCTGGCTGGTGCGGTGCTTTGAGAAGCTGAAAAGTCCTTGACTTAGTGTAAACACTGCTTAGCAACAATTAAACCATCCACTGATGTTATTAACATTATTCTCACCCTAAATCCAAAGCACAGCATGCAGCTGCTAGGAAGAAAATTAACTCTATCCCAGCCAAAACCAGGACAGAGCTCTCTGCCCAGTAATTAGCTGTTTATTCAGAGACATATGGGCTGGCCAGACTTTAGGAGGTCACCTAATTTTTCTCTGTGCCTGATGGCAGGATTTGATTATGAGTGTCATTCCTGGTTAATGTGTTAAATTTCTGCACAAGTCTTCCCTTAACTTGTTTCCTCACTGGTACTTTATAGGCTCTCATACTATCTTTTGCTGTGTACTGGCTTCTCTTCCTCTGCTTCATGGCTTTTTTAAGTGCAGTATCTGACCTGGACACAGTGTGTGTCAGTGGAGGCTTTATCAGTGCTGTGCAGAGCGGAAGGATTACTTCATGTGTCTTGCAGAGGACACTCACTTTTCGCTGCCCTGGCGTGCCTTTTACACAAGTGCATGGCATTGTTTATTCCTCTTCAGTTTATGACCCTCTAAAACCCCAGATCCTTTTCTGTGGAACAGATTATCTAATCAGCTGATAACTGATTATTTATAGGTAGTAATTTACAGTTGATTATGCCTAAATGCAGTTGAGATCTTGTCCATATTGAACTGCACCCAATTTCCACCAATTTGTCAAGAACATTCCAGTCTTAGCCTCCAAAGCACTCACCTCTCTCAGCTGCTGTCGCCTGCACATTTAATAGGGTTCTCTGTACTTGAAATCCAGATTGTTAATGAATGTAAGTCATTAGCCACCTTCTCGTCCTTCCTATAACTCTATTATGTGTAGCCCCATTTTCTGCAGGGTCTTCTCTAGGCCCTTGAGTTGGTTTTTGATGCTTGTCCTGCCTGTGAGCCTAAGTTATCCAGCCCCATGGATCACAGCTCAAAGCTGTCAGCATGAAGGTTAGGAAACTGGTCTGGTAACTTCTCAAAATACTACTGATGCTCATATGTCTATATGGCAAGAGCATTGGACAAGGTGGTATAAAACCACTGGGTAAAACCTGTGCAGTTTTCCAGCAATGTTTGGATTTGATTTTCCAGGGGAAGAACAAACTAGGATATCAGCAGTGGTTCAGAGCCAGCTGGCAATAGGTTATTTCTTTGCAGTCAGTCATTAAACATTCCTGCTCTTGCAAAGTTATTAGAGAATTATCAGCGTATGGTATACAAATAACCCTCAATAAATAAAGTAAAACCATTTCTGGGCTAAACTGTGTGCTTGTATGGAGCCTTCCATCTTGTGGTTAAATCTGTAGTTCCCTTTTTCAATGCATGCTTGTCTAACTTATCATCTGCCATCATTTCTGAAGTACCTATCACATTTGTACTTGAAAGACAGCAGTTATAAAAGAAACCCACAGGGAGATGACCCACAGGATGTTTGAACAAACAGAGCAGACTCTTAACGGAACTTTTGGGACTCCACAGGTAACCTCCTGGGATATCTGTTGTGGTTCATTTTTGTCTTGTGTTTGCTTTGAAGACTGCAAAGGTCCCGCTTTTCAACATCAGCTTTGCCTTACACTGGGAAATGCATCTGGAATTTGCTTCTGACTGGTTGCTTTTGAGATAGTGCAACACATCAGCAATAAGTAAGCAAATCATTACCTTTTAGGGGCTGCTTTCTATGGTTTGGATTTTTTACTGTCCTTTAAGGAGTATACCCTCTGTGAAGGGAATACATTCTTTACCTTTTGCTTATTACTGTTTACCACATATAATTTAACATAATATATTCAAGGCTTTTATTTGTCCTGAGAACTTGCTATATTCATTTTTGTGAGGAGGGCAATCCTCTTGTAGATTCTAGTTAACATCTTTACTTGAATACACTTATTTTGATTCTTTTTTCAGTAATTTCTCACACGAAACACAAAGGGTATCACAGACTGCAAGGTGTTCTTGTACAGCTATAGAAATACCTCTTCCAGAACCTGTATTTTCAATCTTAGTCTGATAGCAAGAAAAAGAAAAATCGCATTTTTGAAAACAAGGCAGGAAAAGATAAACTGAAAAGAACAGGGATAATAATTGAAAACTAATCTGCATTACAGGTAACATTTTATATCCAGTTTCAAATCAGTAAACTGCTGCTCAGAAAATGTTAGATCAGTGTCTAATATGTGCATGCTTTTAGACAGCAAAAGTACATTTGAAAAACTGATCTTTAGGATATTTTCAAAAGTATAGAGAAAGGAATGTTCCCAGGAAGATTCAGAATCCTTACCTTTTGAGGATGAAGCAAAACAATTCTGTAGGTAGCCAAATCCACTTTAAGTAAATCCAAGAGAGCCACCTTTTTCAGTTGTGCTAAATGCCACAGCAGTCCTGAAACCAACATACATTACTCAAGTTAGTAGAATCCTAAGCAGTTGTAAAACATGAGGCTTTTTAAAGATTTTTTTTTTTTAATAATGTTCTGAAGTGATTGCTTTTTTTAAAAAAAAGAAAAAGTGAGTGGTCTTAGCAGTGGAACTAATGAAGCTTCTTTCTGAACATCTTGTAGTTGTACCCGATGTCTTATTTGATTAAGGCTTTGACTGCATCTGGGGAAGCACAACCTGTCCCCCCATCTCTCTTCTATGCGAGTGGAATGCCCTTTGGTGGGTTCTTGTGTCTTTCTTGCTGAGGTACTTGTTTCACATTACAAGAGCTTACTCTACTTGAAGCTGCTTCTTAGCTCTGGTTTGGTTGTAGGTGGTCGGTGGGAGAGCTCTGAACATTACGGGTGGGTAATGTTACCAGACAGGTAGGATAAAAGCACATACACAC